CAGCATTCAAAAGTGACCAAACCATCAGCCAGAAAGCATAGGAACTGAGAAGTGGTCTGTGGTCACCACCTGCAGAACCACTCCTTTATTGGGGATGTCTTGCTAACTGCCTATGCTTTCCACCTGTTGTCTATTCCATTTGCACAACAGCATGTGGAATTGATTGTCAATCAGTGTTGCTACCTAAGTGGACAGTTTGATTTCACAGAAGTGTGATTGACTTGGAGTTACATTGTGTTGTTTAAGTGTTCCCTTTATTTTTTTTGAGCAGTGTATTTACCTTTTTAATAATTAATATAAAAACTGAAAATTGGGCAGTCTTGTAGTCTTGTCATTTTCCTTATCTGCATAGATTATGGAGTTGAACAGCCACCTGGGGTCAGAGCTGCTGAAGCAGCAGGCCATTATGGAGGAGGAACAGAAGAGACAGATCAGCCTCATCAAGCAGGTGCTGAACCCAGGAGATTTCAGTGTAGTGCCAGGGTGAAATGCTATTCCGCAAATATTCAGACTTACTCCTTCTGAATTACAATATGTCGTTTTTTGCATGCTGGTGCCCTTATCTATATTTTTCAGTTTCTCATCTCTAACTCTGTTACCTCCTCTGTAGGTGACTGAACGTGAGCATGCAAGGATGGTGTCAGAGCTGACTATCAAGCACAGTGAGGAGCTTAGTCAGCTGAGGACAGAGCTGTCCCAGGAGCTGAGGGAGAGCATGGAGGCCGCACACCAGGCTGAACTGCAGCAGGCACAGGCATGCTGTTTCTTAGTGGAATGTTTGTATGGAGTGGAATGGAGTATTTTCTAACAGTGGAGATACAGAAATGTTATTGTACTTTGCATCAAGTATAAATATTTATGGAGTAAAACTGTGACTGCTAGATGCCTCCGATGTAAATGTAACATACAGCCCCTCTCCACCCCCCACAGGCACAACATTAGACACAGGTAAAGCATTGATACAAACCTTACCTATTATCTTTTTCTCTAGGCTCAAAAGGCCCTTGAGCTTGAAGCCTTGCGTTTGAGCCTGACCAGTGTTCACAAGTCCCAGCTGGAGCACTCCCAGCTTAACCTGCAGCAGGAGCAGGAGTCTGCTCTCACCAATGTCCAGACCTCCCTGAGGGAAACCTTTGCCCTGGAGAGTGCACTCATGCAAGCCCACCATCAGTCAGAACTGGACCAGATCAGACAGCAGAACCAGGAGCAGCATGAGAGATTGTGTGAGCTGCATCAACGAGAAATGGGTGAGTCCAGACTAGGCAGCGTGGTCTTTCAGTTTATTAGTGTTTTTTTTTTTCTTCTCTCATATTTGCCTTTGGGTTTCCTGAGCATGAGCACTGTTATGGAAGTGGGTGAGTCACCATCATTCATTAGATTCTTGTTTAGTAAAAAGATGATGCAACCTTCAAAGTCTTTCACGTGGGTGAACCCTTTCATTCGTGTTGTGTATTTGTGTTAGATGAGTTGAAGCAGCAGTGGGAGACTCATGTTGCTCAGGAGAAAGCCTCCTTGGAGGATAAAGGAGCCAAAGAGATGGAGGTGAAGCTTTACAGAAATTATTTGAGCACCACAGTTCTTTGATTTGAAAGCTTAATGGAAACTATTAAAAAAAAAAGTGCACTTCTATTTTTTGTGGCACATTTTATCAGTCATATCACATGTGGTACATATAATTTAAATGTTTCGGTTCATCATGCTCTTTTGTCCTTTTTTAATTGTCAGGCACTAAGGTAGTACATATAATTTAAATATTTCGGTTCATCGTGCTCTTTTCTCCTTTTTTAATTGTCAGGCACTAAGGTCACAATTGCAGAAAGAGGCAGAAATTATCCAGTCAAACCTCCAGACATCTCTATCAGAGACCCAGAAAAGCATAATTAGCATCCAGGCAGAACTCACCCAGACCAGCAAACTTCTTTCTGAAGCCCAGGCAGCTGTGTTACTGACCCAGTCAGAGCTGCAGGACTCACGAGCCAGGCTCGAGGAACTCCAGGCTGCTAAGGAGCAGAGCCAAAAACTGGAGGAGGAGCTAAAACAAGCCTGGGCTGACAGAGATGCTGCTGCCCGTGAGTTCCATCCTTCAACAAATCTTCCAACCTGCCCCTTCCTTCTCAAACAGAGTGCATGCTTCATAAGGCTGTATCTTCTGTATTAATGATGATTGAAACTGTTATTAATAGCTATCTGCTGCATCAAAATATACAGTAAGAGACAGTCTTGCCTACTTGTTATCAGGTCGTGTTTTATTTTAGAATACTTGATTTCTGTCTGCTAATATTAGGAATGTGCCTGCGTTTGTGCAAAGGTTATGGTCATTTACATTTAAAATGTTGCTCTATGAACATTTTGCATGTACTGGTTACACACTGTCCCAGTTTATAAAAAATGTTAATGCTTTGTTCTGTCTGTAAATGTTGATTAGGTGCTTTGGAAGAGTTGGTTTCTAGTCAGAAGGCAGAGCTGCAGGAGAAAGAGCAGCGAGTACTCCACCTAGAGGAGAAGGAGCAGCAGCTGCAGCATGAGGTTAGTTCAGTGAAACATACAGTATCACCATGTAGTTCAGCTGTCATTTACCTCTCATTTCAGTGTGTCTGTCACGAACTAGCCTGGGATTATTTAACAGAATATAATCTAGTTTAGTTTTTTTTTTTCCACTTTCTAGACATTTTACTCATCTGGCCATTCCTTGAACTATTAGAAAACCTTAAATCCATAAAATCTAAATCAACAATACAATAAGTTCTTTTGTATGCGTTTCCTCTTTGTCACACAGATTTTACACCTACAGGAGGAAAAGGATTTGCTAAAACAGAGCTCAGAACAGGAAGTAGGTCAGCTGTGGACCCAGCTGGAGAGTATGAGAACTAGTCGCCAAGAGTTGGGAGGTGAGATTGATAAATATGCCATCTGCTTCATGATTCTTTATTTTATTCTACTATTTATTTTAATACTCACAGTAAAGCTGCTCGACATTTCACATACAAAACATGTTACTTTATTAACAATGGCTGTTGTCAGTGATGTGACATGATGCTTAGAGAGAGGCAACTTGATTATCTTTACACTGACATCATTTACATTTTTGTATGATCATTTTCTGTATTCTTTGTCTACTTTTGTCTCACAGAGCTGAAGGAGCAGCTGCTTGTGCGTTCATCTCGTGTTGATGACATCGAACGCCTAAAGACAGAGTTCAGCGAACAAAAACGAGTCATCAAAGAGCAAAATGAGGCTGAGCTGGAAAGCCTGAGGAGGTATGTGAGTGGGGACACAGTTTGATTCATTTATTCTCACAAATGTTTTAACTTTGATTGGCTAAGATTGTAATGATGAATAGGAATAGATATTCAAACTCTTTATCAGGCATGTGGTTTGCAGAGCATGCTGTGTATTTACCACAGTGCAAAGGATTATCAGTTAACACTTTTCCTTTTTTCTCACTTGTACTGACTGCATGCAAATTTACCTTTAAATAAATCCTGCTTTAGGTACTTTGAGCAGCAGTTGAGGGCAACAGAAGAGAGCCACAGAGAGGAAATCACTCTGCTCCAGCTGAGGCTGGTAGAAGGGGCTTTAGAAGAATCTGTGTTTAAAACCGCAAATGTCAGGTATGTGAGTAAGTCTGTATGTATGTAACTGCAAACTTGCATGATGTTATTTGAACATCCATGTCTTTGATTCCTGTTTCAGTTCCATATCTCAAGGTCAGGCTGCAGAGGAAACGGATGTTTGTTCCGATACCACCGTCAAACCAGAGAAACAAAAGGTAAAGGTGAACAAATTATTAGCACAAGACAATCATCTGCTGTTGCTAGATAAATGTCTGGTACAGAGTTTGCAATTTTGAAGCCATAGTCCAAGTTGCAATTGTTTGATAAACTTTTTCAGGATAACTCATGTTTCACAAAGTAGTGGAGTAAACCTGTCTGCGTGCCTTAGCAGTACTTACTTCTGTGATCTTCTTTATAAGATATTATGTCATGTCTCGTCCAGGAATTTCTTGACAGTTTGTGCCTTCAGCTGGAGGAGAAACACACTATGGAACTTGCCAACCTGCGATCCTCTTTGGCTCTTTCCTTTAAAGAAGAGGTACAACAGGTCAGGCAGGCACAGACTTTGTCCTTTACTCATTAATGCCTCTATTTCTGCAAACAAACAAAGATGTTAATATGAGAGGGGTTCTTTGCCCACAGTACCTTTACTGTTTGGTGTGTGTCCCCCACTGTATGTGCATTAGGTGCGCTCAGATCTCACTGACCATTACTATGAAGAGCTACAGGAGATGAAGACTTGTCATGCCCTGGAGCTAGAGCAATTCCGAGCCAAACTTTCTGACAGTCACTTACAAGGTACTTGGCACATAGATATCATAACATAAAAGCATATTATACAGTTGTGTAGTGAGATCTCGCTTAAAAAAAAATAACTTCAGATATCTTTTTCATAGAGCTTACCAGGGTCCTTTTGGAAGCAGAAAGGCAGGTTGAGGTAAGAATAGATGATCAATACACACTGATTTTATGGGCCATTTAAAACTTAGTTTTGGTGATTATTATTATTATTATTATTATTTTATTAGGTGGAGGTTGAACAGAGAATGTGGTGTTATACTGAGGAGCTACACACAAAAATGACCATCATCCACACACTGGAAGACAGACTGGATGCCTTGAGTAAAGAGCAAGATGCAGAAATGCAGAGGAACACACAAAAGGTTCACTCATATACAATATACAAGCCTGCCTGCTGATAAAGTGTAAAAATGATGGAGCATATACTGATACTTGTACAAAAGCCCATATTTCAGACCATGTTGTTCATTATATTCTTTCCAACTCCTGCAGCTGAAACAGGAGTTTGCTGTGGAGCTTGAGGATGCTCTGAAAGAGGACAGGGAGCGTTTGCAGGCGGAGATGAAGAGGCTGAGGGAAGAGCTTGAAGAGAAGCATCAGGCTGAATTATATGCCCTGAGGTCAGACATTAAGAAAGAGACAGAGAAGGTTGAGCGTGAGGAATGGCTACACCAAGCCCCGGAGAGGTGAGATCTTGAGGCTCAAGGCCATAAAATCTTATGTTTGTATTGGTTTTCTTTAGGTTTTTGCAATCTTTACATTTCAGAAATGATTAATTGATGAAATTATTATTGACAAATTGCTCCAACATTATAGGTAATAATAAATAGACAATCCCCTTAAAACTTGTTTTGACTTTTACAGTATGCAACAGAATTTTAGCTCTGTCTGTTATCATGGCCTGAAAACAGTTATGTGCAGCACCACAAGTTGCTGTTTTTATAATCACAACAAGAACACTTCGTTTCATTCTGAAGACCTTTTGAAAATACTAAAATATTTGGGTACTTTTTTTGTTTGCGTTTAGGTTTCAAGAAGAAAGAGCGGCATTGGAGCTGCATTTGGGCCAGAAATATGAAATTTCTCTGGCAGAGCTAAAGAACAAACATCAAGCTGAGCTGGAGTATGAGCGAGCGACTCTACTGAAAAAACACTCCCAAGAGATGGACACACTCAATGCCAAACTCAAAGAACAACTAGATTCACTCAGTGCCAGTCACGGAGATCAGCTTACAGCTATTGCCACTGAGCTGGAATCTAAACACAATGCTGAGCTTGTTGCCTTGGAAGCGGCCCTCAATTCCAAACGAAAGGCAGATCTTGACAGTTTATTGGCCGTTTTTCAGGAGACCAGTCGAGCTAAGCTTGAGGACTTAGCAGCTGAGTTAATTCGTAAGCACAAGGAAGAGATGGACGAACAGGAAAAGAGGATGCTGGGTAATATGGACATGTTGGAGGCCACATATTTGAAGGAAATACAAGTAAGGAGATGTAGTTCAGAGAAAGTAAAGCATAATTTAAAGCCTTATGTGGACAATGGTTGAAATGCATTAAACTGTATTTGCAGGTCTTGAGTTTCCACAGTAAAAGTCCTTAATAGGAATCTAGCCTTCCTTAGGCAGGTGTGGTACAGTAGTTGTATAATGTTGTACGCATGTATTCTGCTGTTTACAGGAGGCAGTTAAATCCTTTGTTGCATTCCAATCAGCCTCATCTGACCTTTATAACTTGTATTAAAAATAATTTCGAAAGCCTTAAATTTAAGTCACTGAATGCTGCATAAACCCTGTTAGAAAATAAAAAACACTGTCATTGTTTAGGGTTTGAAAATTGTTGAAGTACTTAAAAGGCTACTGTCTTTTTAATCTCAGACACTGCGTGATGAAATGGTGCAACTTGAACAGAGGCACCATCATGAACTGAATTGCCAGCAGTCAGAACATCAGCAGATGCTGGAAGACCTGAGGAAAGAACTGGCTCAGGTGCACATGGAGAAGTTTAGTGCCATGGCATCAGAGCTCAGCCATGTTCGCAAGGTGAGAAATAAGGATGCGTGGTGGACAACTCGCTAACATCTGGTAGACAATTAAATTATTAATTCAAACAAAAAGATAGGTAACTGAAAACTTCTGCTGTCGACTTTCATCCAAAGGATGTTGTGTTTTTGTTTGTTTTTTTTTGTTCTGTTTGTTTTTTAAATGATTTGTTCTTACAGGTTGAGCTGGCTGTTCAAAAAGAGGCCTTAGACACTGAGCACTGCAATGCCTTGGAGAGACTTAAGAAGCAGGTATTTACTCAGACATCCCTACATTGCTTTGGTTTACTCTTATATAACCTAGATTTTAAGTGTTATTTTGGGAGTTGCTGTCTGAGTATGTATAATTGCCCAGCATAATAGTTTAAAATGGACATAATGACATAACAGTCAGTGCTGATTTTTCTGTGATGTATTTGTAGCAATGCAGTGTCTTACATTGCACAGTACATCTGCAGAAGCTGTTGCAATTTAATACAACAGCTTTGAAATTTCTACCTCTATAGATTTGATCATATCCAGTTTTTTTTGGAAATGTGTGAATTCAGTTATGTTTATTACTGAGGTCCTAGTTAAAGATCATGGTATACTAGACTACATTATTGTTTGTAATTTTTATCTTCTCTGTCTACATACAAGTACTTGAGTAGGCCAGAATATTCGAAGCTACACCTCAATATATAATAGTTTATCCAAACACCACTGTGACCTCAATGCTAAAATATACTCTAAAATTGTATTAACACCTCTATGACTGTGTTTAAAACGGACTACTCGGTTATGGCAGAGCAGTTGTGTTGGATTTAATTAGATTGAACAGGTGTATTTAATAAAATGGTCACTGAGTATCTGGGTGGTTTTCCATCATATACTGCTCTACTGCACATGGATGCACCATTCTGGCTGGCCTTGCAATCCATCCTATCTTGAAATTGCATTTCTGCACAGTATTTGCAAATAAGGTTAAACTCCAAAAAGTGCACATATTTCTGAAGGCAAATATATTTGAAATAGCTAGTTTATTTGGGCTGTACTTTTCTGGAAATTGCTGGTCTGAATAAATGTTTTTCTGTTTGTTCAAATGCGTTGGACATGCAAAAACTTGAGATTGTATTAATTTTAAAAAAATCTGCTTTAGATGGTTGATGTTTTAATTATCAGCAAGAGATTCGTCTTTACAGCCTGTGTGCTTTCTCAGGTTTTGGAGCTAGAGCAAGAGCATAACACTGTTCTCCAGGAGCTATCACAGAGCTACACTGCTGAAAAAGAGCAGCTCCTCAAGCAGCACCAACTCCAGCTACAGGTGTGTGTGTGTGTGTAACACACAAGAGCATTACAAGAGCCTATGTATGAGAGAATCTTTTTACAAGGGTAATGAACATCCCATACTCTGCTGAGTTGCTTTTAACGGCCATCACTACAGCCTTTGTGTCTGTTGCTCTTACAGACCATTACAAAGTGATTGTTCATCTTGTATAATCGTGCATTTGTGTATAGAAGCACAGTGTATTTGTTTTTGTTTTTTTTGAGGAGCACTTGGAATTTGAGCATTTGACCAACTGCCTGTGGTATTACACAAATTCACATGTCCTGCTGTAGGAGCTGAGGGGTATATCTGCGCGGGAATTGGAGGCATGTCGCAGGGAGCTTGAAGAGTCGTCGTCAAGACAACGTCAGCACTTCATAGAGGAGGTGGAGCTCCTCAAAGTCCAATCAGAGGAGAGGCTGCAGGACAGGATTAATCAACTGAAGGTAACGGGAGATGCTTGGAAGACAAGGGTGGGAAGATGAGAGAAAAAGTATAGATAGTTTTGAAATTACATGTTGCTGAAGATCTTTTAAGTTAAATATGACTATCTGAAAAAAAAGCTACTTTTCCCAGTTTTTCATTTTTAGCTGTGTATTGATTTGACTCAGAGTGCCTCTTTGAAACATGATTATATAATAGTTGTGGATTAATGAGAGCTGTAATGTGTGTGTGTGTGTACACGGGATGGCATTCCTCTGCACCAGTTCATGCCTAGGACGGTTCTTTTTTTTTGGAGGCTGTCCCACTGGAGCTTTATTCTAACCCAGTTTCCACATAATCCCACTATCGTATATGCTGAAGTGTTCTTGTCCATCTGTCTTTGTTCTCTCTGTGCTGCTGGGTCGTCCATGTGTTTGTGTTGCTGCCATCTGAACAATGCTAAGTAGTTTTGAAGGCTGAAGGTACTTCTTTTCAGACATTTAGCATTTGACCAGTTAAATTATAAAATTCATGCTATATGTACAACCAAAAAGAGATTTTGTATTTCCATAAGTGGGGTAAAACTATGGAATAATTTAAGTGTGGACATAAAAAACAGTAAGAGAATTGAGGAGTTTAAATATAAAGGTACGTGTCAATCAAGAT